GTGAGTGTGACACATGGGACACCGGCGAAGCATTTGACCAGTGGAAGGGTTAGGGTAGGGAGTAGGTGGTAGGGCACAGACTGCATGATGACCACAGAGGAAACAGCACCAGATGGAATGGGAGGGGCAGGGGGGGGGGGGCAGGGGCAGGCTTGGGAAGGGGGAGGGGGCAGGTGAGGGGAGCCCTGGGAAAGGGAGCAGGGTGCTGAGTGCATGATGACACAGAGGAGCCGGTACCAGCTGGAATGGTGGGAAGGGCAGGGAGAGGGGGCAGGGTGGAGGGGCATGGGGGAGGGGAAGGTGGGCAGGGAGCTGAATGCATGATGGCACGGTGAAGCCAGTACCGGCAGCTGGAATGGGGGGGGGGGGGGGGGCAGGGTGCTGAATGTATGATACCACGGAGGAGCCAATAGCGGCTGGAATGGGGGGGGGGGGTACAGGGTGCTGAATGCATGATGACCCCAGAAGAGCCAGTACCGGCTAGAATGTGGAGAGGGGGCAGGGTGCTGAATGCAGAATGACCGCAGAGTAGCCAGCAATATGAATAAATGGCTGAAGGCCAATGACTGTAGGATGAGTAACATGGGCAACCATGTCTGCGAAAAATGTGAAAATTTCTGTAGCATGGTGTTATTGCGACTGTTAGTATTCTATCTGGCATTACTACACTGCTGCTGTTTGAAATCCGATCGTCTGAAGCAAGTATGTGCCTGGCACTGCGCAGCCCTAGGCCTGCAAACACTGGAATGTGAACTGGTGCTGGACGTAAACTCGACTCACGCAATCGAACTTGATTGAGCAGCACTGAACGCTCTAATTTAGTGCATAATGAATACTAGTACCATGCCGACGACCGGATGTGATCGAGCTGTACTGTACCTGATAAAAGGGCTGATGGTGTGACGGGTGTGCGTAGTGTGAATGCGCAAGGCCAGAGGGCACATGTGGTGAAGCTAGATCTAATGCACTACAGTAAGATCGGGCGCCGAAGAACGCAGGGGCTCGAGCGCAGCCTAGGAAAGTTCTTAAATTTTTGATTCTAGCCAGACCGTTCTTATTCACACGGCACACGCGCGCGGCGAGTCGAGTGACGTCATGACGTTTGTCATGTACATGTACATGTACATGTAGTGCAATGTAGTACTTCTAAACTATTGGGTGTCGTAAATGGGAATGACTGTACATGTAGCAGTTACTGTTTACACGTGTACATGACATGTACTCACCTCCCATACATGTACAATGTAGATCTACGTACAATGTAGATCTAGTGTTCTTAAATCTGATAATTCTAGCCTGGACTGTTCTTAAATTTTGCCGGTTTTCCAGCCTGGGTGTTCTTCGGCGAGGTGTTCTTCGGCGCCCGATCTTACTGTATACCTACTTTGGCTTCAAGTACACAGATTATCATCCTGCGTGCAGTACCAGTGTAGTGTTTCTGTCATAAGTTACATGCAGTGATCACTAAGAATGTTGTGGACATCACGCAACTGCACTATGAAAGAAACCTTGGGGGTTTGTCAACTGACAACTGCTCTATTCAGTTGCTAGTCTGCACATGCGCTGCATTAAAAATGCTTTTATGGTGATGTTGAAAATTATTGACGTTTCAGGCCAGTCACCCATCGTCAGAACCTGACGGACCTGTTCTGACAATGGGTAACTGGCCCAAAAGGTCAATAATTTTCAACATCACAATAATGGATGGCAGTCGTGAGCCAGTCAAGTGTCAAGTCAAGTCGGCGGAATAGCGCGAGCTGCAATGTGGGGAGCAAACCCTCTTTATCACAATAAAAGAATTTTCAATGCAACGCATGCGCGGATTGTGAATAGCGACTGAATAGAGTTGTTATCAGTTGACAAACCCCCGTTTCTTTCATGCATGGCTCACTGCAAAAAAACAACTAACTCATAACTCAGGGGCCGACATCCAAGGTTACCAGTCGTTTTGTTTTTCAAAAAGAAAAGTTTTCGTTCGGTGGTGGGTGCTTGGGTTTGAGAAGTCTCGTTTTGGAAATAATTTTTCAATGCATGTGGAGAGTGCTCAGATGCTCCTGTTTTCCGAAAGTTGAAATCAATATTGTGTTGGAGATGGCTTTCCCTGCCGAAAGGCTTTGGTGGAAAATACCGAAACTAGGGGTGAAACGACTGACCCAATTTACTTATCGATTAGATTCAATCCTATCGACTGACTATCGACTGGTTATCGACTGACATTGCCCTCACACATGAACACAAGCACAGCGTATTTACGCATACATACATGCACGTGCATGGTCACACACCCATGCACAAGCAAACAGAAGCAAAATATGAGCGAAATGTTTCATTTTATGAAACAATCGGTAATCCCGTTTAGGCTGTTCATACTACATTACAATACGTGTCACGTTTTGGAATTCCACGTACTGTCAAACATTGTTTTCATGCAATCACATGTACATTAACACAGGCACATACACGCTTTTCCTTCAGCTGTGCGTACAGCTTTTACTTTTATACAAACTGCCGGGAACAGCAGAACAAATCTCGGTACAGGGGTCCTTGTCTGGATATGTCGTCTACGGTTTTCGTATCAGGTGTTCGAGTTTCCGGTTTTTCCCCGCCACGTTCCATGTTGTCATGGCTATTCGGACGAAAACGTCACGTACGCCACGTTTTGGGTGTAGTGTGAATGGCCCATCAGAGCTTCGGAAAGCTCCACAAGAAATAGGGCTGAGTCGGGCAGCATTTTCTCCGGGTATCGGGTTCGGATAGCTTTCCACGGGTAGCACGGGTACCCGATCGGGTAATGTTTCCATGGCAACACCACAATGCACCCCTTCCCTTACATACTGGGTAGACATGCGGAGTATTACATGAATTTGTACAGGTGCACGGTACTTGATGGCAGGCACAGTGGGTTGGTCAAAGACCATGATTGAGATACGAGGGGTACCTGGTTCAAGTGCTGCCTGGTAGCGGTTTTTCCAGCCATGCTGCTACCCACAGTCAACTGGGAACTTGTGGCCAGGCACAAGGGGTACATGAATGCGGCTATTAGAGAGGTTCAGGGGTACCATTTTCCGTTCCAAAATCCGTATGGGCTCTACGGATTTTTTAGAGGTGTGCTCCATACGATTTTTCGGCACGGAGAATCCGTACCCGGCCGTGTGGACTGGCTTTCATACGAACCATGTTTCGTATGGAGATTTTGCGTCATCGGGTGCAGAAAGATTTTTGCGTACATATTTGGTACGAGAAACATCGATTTTCTGCGGGAAGTTTTGATTTCGGTACAAATTTTCAAAATAAAAAGCATAGCGCGGGAATGTGACGTGTTTGCGACCGTAACCTAGGCAATGACGGCAAACGCATAAGTTCCGTACTCCGGAACATTTCACTGCTGGAAAACGACGTGTAAAAAATCCGTAGCGCCTCTACGGATTTTGGCACGAAAAATCGTACTCCGGAACCTCTCTATTAATTCCTTATGGGGTGTCTCGGCACTTGTGCCAGTGGCTGTGAGAATTATCTACTCACCCCCACCGTTAGGAGCTGCATCTGCCGCTAGAGTTGACCGGGTGTTGGTTGCCGTCGTGAGTTCCCTTCGTGAACGGACACGATATTTTTTTTCTTTTTTACTGCCCTTCATGTCATCTGCGACTTCGGGTTTCGGGTATTATTCTGTACCCGTCTACCCGAGGTCCTCACGGGTAGCACAGGTACCCGACTACCCGTGCACAACACTAATCATGATGTCTGCAAACAGTGTTGGGGGGGGGGGGGGGGGTGGGTGAATGCATACAGTGTGAATGTGTACAGTACAGTCAAAGGGAACTGCAAACTGCATATGGAAACACACAGACAGTGCAGGGTGCTACAATACATGCAATACTGTGTAGTACAATGTTTACTAGCACATGTGAATATGCCCATACAGCAGTGTACATGTGCTTGTACAGGTACATGATATGAATATGCCCATACAGCAGTGTACATGTGCTTGTACAGGTACATGATATGAATATGCCCATACAGCAGTGTACATGTGCTTGTACAGGTACATGATATGAATATGCCCATACAGCAGTGTACATGTGCTTGTACAGGTACATGATATGAATATGCCCATACAGCAGTGTACATGTGCTTGTACAGGTACATGATATGAATATGCCCATACAGCAGTGTACATGTGCTTGTACAGGTACATGATATGAATATGTCCATACAGCAATGTACATGTACTTGTGAACATGATTGTGAATGCAGCG